AAAAAAAAAAAAAAAAAAAAAAGAGTTGTTTGTTTACCCTAAGCCATATGCCCATTTATTCAGCATTTGCTGAGTACCCACCATGAGAAGGCACCAGCATAGGTCAGGTTGCCCAATGACAGAGGCCTTTCTTCAGGAGGTCACCTAACAGGAGAGAAAAGTCACACATAGCCAATAAAAGGCTGTGAACTATGCTCAAAAAGACAGGGCTAGTGGTGATCCCTGCCCAACAACAAGCCATACAAAGGCCTGGAGTCAGGACAAGGTACCACATATTTGGGGAACAATGACACCTTTACTATACTCAGGCAAAAGAGAGGATCAGAAGACTAAGAAGCTTATCCAAAGTAGTATGCATTCCATGGCCATGAGAAAGTCCACCAAAGGAAAAACCTAAAAACTACACAGAAGAATATATGAGTACAAAGCCACACGCCTTGGATGGTGCCTGTGGCTCAGTGGATAGGGTGCCAGCCCCATATACCGAGGGTGGCAGGTTCAAACCCGGCCCCAGCCAAACTGCAACAACAAAAACGAAAATAGCCGGGCACTGTGGTGGGCGTCTGTAGTCCCAGCTGCTCGGGAGGCTGAGGCAAGAGAATTGCCTAAGCCCAAGAGCTGGAGGTTGCTTTGAGTTTTGACATCACAGCACTCTATAGAGGACAACAAAGTCTCGGTAGAGTACGTGGCATCACAGCTGACAGCAACCTCCAACTCTTGGGCTTAAGCGATTCTCTTGCCTCAGCCTCCCAAGTAGCTGAGACTACAGGCACCCAGCTATTTTGTTGTTGCTGATGCAGTTGTCATTGTTGTTTAGCTGACCCGGGCTGGTTGGAACCCGTCAGCCTCAATGTATGTGGCCAGCACCATAACCACTGTACTACAGGCACCAAGCCCATACTCAGCTTCTTCCTCAAGAGCGTCCCTTTCTGCTCCAACCCTTTCTGTGGTCGGCACCATAACCACTGTGCTAACCACTGTTTGGCACGCCCAGGCCGGTTAGTACCCACCAGCCCCAGTGTATGTAGCCAGCACCCTAACTGCTGAGCTATAAGCGCCAAGCCCATACTCAGCTTCTTCCTCAAGAGAGTCCCTTTCTGCTCCAACATGACACAAAAAAGAGGGATAAACAGATAGATACAGACATTAAAATTGGGCTCAGTTGAGTTGTTTGGGCTGGGTGTGGTGGTTCACACCTGTAATCCCAGCACTCTGGGAGACCAAGGCAGGTGGATTGCCTCAGCTCAGGAGTTTAAGACTAGCCTAAGCAAAAGCAATACCCCTTCTCTACTAAAAACAGAAAAACTCAGGATCACCTGAGTCCAAGAGTTAGAGGTTGCTGTGAGCATGATGCAACCCATTCCACCCAGGGCAACAGCTTGAGACTGTTTCAAAAAAAAAAAA